ATATATATATATATATATATATATATATATATATACATTAAGGAGTTTCAGGCATGTTTGAATTAATAAATTCACACGTATTGCATACGAAGAAAATGGGAACTATACTTACTCTATTTTTTGAGCGAAAATACTACTTACGGACCCAAATGTCCTAAAGGATAACTCCATGAAATTTCCTGCCTTAAGTTTTACTGGTTTATTTGACATAAGTATGATTAAAATTAGTGCCCGCGCTTTTCCTTCCGGAAGAAGGTGCCAATCTAACGTACATGCCGTCAAAGCTACTTGTTCCCCCTCGTTAATGAATGACACATATCAGAGTGATATTTGAAAAAGTATAGCGGCATAGCGATATTGGCATTATTACCACCGCAATATATATAGCAGTACGCATCACGAAACTTAATATACTTACCTTTTCAGAGAGCTGCTCACCAATAAAACAATATACAAATATATTGAAAACCAATGATATCACTGAAATAAAATACGTACACATAGCAACGGTATTGCTGTTCTCCCATTCCTGTATAAGCAAATTATATTATTTATCATTATAATATCGTCATATATATACGCATATATTTTATGTATAGATTTCTACATACCATAATTAAGCAATATATTATGAGACATATCATAGAAGTACATGTCATGAGTTCTACAAAACTCGAAAAATATATAACGTTTTGCACCATATCCAAAAAACTGGAAGCCATTGTAAGACAAATATAAGTCCCACTCTCCCAAAACAATCAAATATACACCGCACAGAAAAATATTCATCGTACTAAAATACTACATAATATGCCATTCTAGCTGATACGATAATAACAACAAATATATATATATATATATATATATATATATATATATATATATATATATATATATATATATATATACTTAATATATAAATTAAAATATAAAATTTATATAAATTTACAAATTAAAATTTATAAATTTAAAATTTATTAATTTATAAATTAAAATTTAATATATAAAATTTATATAAATATATATATATATATATATATATGCTTCAAACAAAATGTAGCTACTAATTGACAAATGTAGCTACATCATTGAGATAAAATGTGCGTGTTGATACATGCAGAAACAAACGGTTGTTACTTTCGCGTTCTTATTTGATGCTGTACGATGACAGATAACTTCTTGTCCACATTCTCAAACTCATGTTCGATTGTCAAGTTGTTCATTAGCGTCATTAAGATGTCCAATTGTGCCACAATATGCATCGTGAAGAGCGCCGCAATGCCGCAACCTGCCACTGTGATCGTATACCTGAGGAGACCCGTCAAACACTGTACCAAGAACACAATCTCGTAAGCCGGACTGATCTGCGGATCAAACACTATATAATAAGCAGGACTCGGCAAGGGTCTAATCGTAATATTCTGAGCAGTGACGATTTTCCCTCTTGACAACGGTAAAAGTGTTCGATACGTCATCCCGGAGCCATACATGAATATACTGCATAAGATCAACAAACGTCTGCCAGTTCTCGCATGGAAGAGCATCGTATTACGAGCAGTCGGGCTGATGACATTTTGAAAATCCTTCTCGACACATGCCATGCAACTTCTCATTTGATTCTTCATGTACAGTAGATTACTGTACTTGAGAATCGACACAATCGTGAATATAACCACGGCCATTATTTTAATTCTCGCGCGAGTCTCCTTCTGCACCATGAATATATAAAGGAGTGTAGAAATTAGATCGCAACTGAGAAGAAGATAAAATACAAAAAACAATGCGGCCCTTTGTAGCTTCTGAAGAAGCCAGAAGTTTGTTTGCGCGTACGGCCAAATGCCCAAAAGAGAAAAAATAAAACGATTCAATTCGTATGTATAGTTTATATCGTGCTCGTAGTTTTCATTGATAAACATTATGAATAATGTTCGACTTGAATTTATATAACAGAACTTTCGAGTTTCGAAATATATAAAGTGATGTGAAGACCACCGCTTCTCCTTCTCGTCTATTCGGAGTAGCTGCTTTCCACTTCGAGCAGAGTTTAATAGCTGCATGCGCTTGCGTGCTAGTACATTTGAAAGGGTAGACAGTGCAAATCGTTAACAATGCACGCATGGAAACATCGAGGGAAATCTCACAGGCTAGTCTATTTTTGAGTTATACAAGAAGAAAGTTTTTCTAGCTTTATTTCAAATATTGAACAAGTTGAAACCATACGAGGAAGTGTTGTTATTGATATCGCAACAATACCAAACGGCCATTGACTTTAAACAGAATGGCTTTACAAATACAATTTGTACTAAGAAGAAGGTGAATAACCATATCCCTTCTGAAAAATATTATAAAATATTCAGGTATAAATCTTTCTTTGAATAACAAATTAAATTTAGATAAGCATTTTTCTATGGAAGAGGTATTGGTCGTAACTTTTATTTTGAGTTTCCTATATTATATGGAAGAGAAGTTTTCCTTCTGGATAGAAAAATCATATATAGTTTTACGTCCAAAAAATTACTTACAACAACAGTTAGTAAAATTTAGTCTTTAACTTTTCTATTTCTTTTCTTTAGGAGAAAATCAGTGGCAAAGTCATTTTACATTAAAACAGTTCTTAGATTTGATCAAAGTAATAATAATCACATAACTGAATAAGAAAATAAAACACAAATTAAGAGAATTAAATATATTTATCGAATATTGGAATCATAGTGATATGCTTTCGTGATTAGCCGCAAAATAAATAAATTTATTTCTACGATATCCTCTGAGATTAAAAAAGGGATTTCTCTATATTTTTGATAACTAACTATTTTTATTTCAACTTTGTTTACTCAATGACACTTCCGATTCTACACTTATTTACCTATGAGTAAATATCTACTGAAAAGAATTATGGCATTAAAATTTATAGACAGAATTGAGTGAAATTAGAATGACCTTTACTGTGAACAATCATTGTGAGAACATTAATTCTTTTTAATATCAAAGATGAAATATCTGTTATACGAAGTCACTATTAGAATTTTGTTTTATAACTTCATAACTTTATTATTTCCTAAAAACGTGGACGTGTGATTTATTTTCTACTTGCAAGACACTTTATCTATCAAAGTAAAAATTTAATCTACGCGTGATTTTTTGCGGAGTACCACTAACGCAAATTTCACTTACTTTTGTTTGTATTTTTTTATGCCATATCTTTTTGGGCAATATATATTGTCACTCACTCAACAACTGATCGAAGGAGATTTAAATAACCCATGGCCGTCTTAATAACCTAAAATATAATTTACTTGTGTTAACCGCTTTTCTATTTAACAAAAAAAATAATATTCACATATAAAAACTTTTAAACATACATGAATTAAGGAATTCACATAGATTATATATGAAAATAAAAGGACCGTACTTTAAAAACGAAGGTTATATTACTTACGGACCCGAATGTCCTAAAGGATAACTCCACGAAATTGCCTGCCTTAAGTTTCATTGGCTTATTTGACATGAGAATGATTAAAATTAGTGCCCGCGCTTTTACATCCGGAAGAAGGTGCCAATCTAAAGTACATGCCGTCAAAGCTACTTGTTCCCCCTTGTTTTGTTAATGAGTGACAGACATAAAAGTGATATTCAAAAAATTATAACAATATTGGCATTATTACTACCGCAATATATATATATATATATATATATATATATATATATATATATATATATATATATATAT